AAGAACCCGCGGCACTGGGTCGAGTGGACCGCCGAGGCGAGGTTGCCCTGCGAGCCCCTGACCACGCGCCCAAACCGTCGCAGCCGACCAATCACGAGCGACAGTTGCTGAGCGCTGGTCGGGCAGGCAACCTTGCGGCGCTCCGAAATCACGGAGAATTGGATGTTCGACGCGCCCACCGCGCGCAACAGGAGGTAGCTGGGACCCTCGTAGCCGATTTTGAACTGACCGGCCTGCTGCGCCCTGTTGCGGAGGACGTCGAACCTCGAGAAGAGGTCATCGATGCGGCCCACAGGCAACTGATTGAAGTTCATCAGGGCCGATGCCGCTGAGGCGCGCTCCCCCTCGCATAGTTGGCCCAAACGTTTGCGCATGCCGCTCGGCGGATCTAGTTAAGGTCGGAGTTAACCACTGACCAGATCGCGACCTCCCACACCCAGCACTGGAAGGGCACACGAGGCATCGCACGCTGCCGCCACCAACCCCGCCAGCGTCCACGCGCGCGATACAGATGGAGGCAGCGACCACATCCACTCCGACGGCCGCCCATCCGGAGTGGAGCCCCCCGCCCACGCCTCGAGGAGGCGCTGGAGTCCTGAAACCCACCAACGGCGCTGCTCGGGCAGAGAGCCCCGATGCCGTCGTGGGCATCTGCCCCGCGCATGCTCTACCTCGTCAGCGCATTGGATGCCATTTCACCGCGCGGTTGTGGTGCGATCGGCACTCGGAGCATTTCGCGACATGGTCACGGGAATGCTCGTCGCGCGTCACGCTGCACCGTCACTGAGCACCACCAACTGCATGATAATCTGCGACTGCGACTGCGACTGCGCGACTGCGACCCGCATAGCACACCCCGCAGGCACCGCGGGCCGGCGCCTAAGCGCCCACGGAAACAAAACACTCATACTGACGCACAGAACATCTCCTCAAGACTGCCCCGCACATCCCAGGCGGCACACCTCATCAGCACACAAACATGAGATCGCGCCCCACCAGCATCAGAAAATGCCCTCTGCTCCTCCGGGATCAAGAGTTCCTGGCGCCGTGGCATGACTTTGAAAACGTCGTCGAGCATGCGTTGTTTCGGTCTGCGCGGGCGCATTTTTGCATTGAGTTCTGGGTACCAGCGCGGGCCCCATGACCGCGCCCACCCCCCAGGCACTGCGTTTGCGACTAGAGCAGAACATCCCCATTCATTCCGTCTTCGGTGTGCAACACAGTCATCGACATGGAATTACTTGATATCATGGTCTGCCCCCCGCGCGCCTCCTGTGACCCAATCCCAGAAGTCCCAGATGTTCTGTCGATGGCGTTGTCTCGGGCGTGCGTTGGGCGTCCTCGACAACGCCGACCACGTCGGCTTCGCTGTCGGTGGATACAAAATAAGATAATCCTGCCCGGCCCCCGCCTGACCGCCCCCGTTCTGCGGCGCGGCGCCCGGATGGTCACCCCGAGCATCAGCCGCGCAGCAGCGTCGGCGCGAGAACTCCGTCGACTAAACGCATGTGGTTTCGCGGCGAATACCTACGTCTAACGAGTTCATGCTTGAGTGCAAAATCTTCTTCACGCCATCGAAACACGACCCCCTGTCCCAACCGCGCGACTGCCAGAAAAGAGCAATTTCCAGTCAAGATATTTTGCGTGACCGGATACAAGTAAAGTCTCGACATCCACGCCGTCGATGTCCACAGTAGGTGCTGTCCGGTCTTTCTGCGCGTCGCCGTAGCTGCAGCGCAAAATCTGCGTCTTCGTCGGGCGCAAGACCAACCCTACTTCCCCTGCTTCTCTGCGCGAGTCGCCGACCACCCAGGCGGCAGGCCTCAAGAAAACAGATGTGTCAGCCGAGCTCTGTTCAATAACAATGACACACCGATCTTCACGTTCGCCCATTCTGCCTTGATTCTGCTGATGACGTGCTTTGAAACGCCCTTCAACAGCAAAGAGCTGAGGTGATCTCTTTGTGTTGCCTCGCGCTGGGTCGTAAATTCCTGGCTTTGTTATCGAACGCATCCTGCTTCATCGCCCTGGTCGGAACACGCACCCCTGACGCCACTGCGATTCTGCGTCGGGAGGAGGAGTACGAATCGGAATCCAAATCTGCCAGATAGCAGGGACTGCGCGGGCAAGCGAAGATCGAAAACGAAAACTCCCAGGCTCGTTATGCGGCCCCACGGAGCGCGGACAACACAGCCGCCAGACCCTCCTTTTTTGTCCCGTTCTTCTCTGCCTGTGTCTTCCAGGAACCGTGGACGCTTCGCCAACGCCGTAGACGCGAACGTCGCATCGACCAACTGTCTGACACCTTCGCCTACACCCACAGGCGGATGCACAGATAGGGGTCGTGTCTGTTGCCTTTTCCTCCCAAGGCTCCTGCAACATAGTCGCAAGGAGCTCGGGACCCTCCGCCAACACTGCAGACGTGAACGGTGTGTCAATCAAATGCCTGACGTCGGAGGCTACATCCAGATGCGGGTGCAATGGTGGCGTCGGGTCCGCGAGGTGCTGAGACATAGTCTGGGCGAGCCCGGGAGGAAGCGCCGAGAAAGGCGGCGCAGGGCCGCGGTCCTTGAATTTGATGGTATCGGAGACGTACGTGTGCGGCCCCGTCGACGCGATGTACGGGTAGAGCCTTGCGAAGGCGATCCAGCTCGGCGGCGTGCTGGACGGTTGCTAAGCGATGAAGTCGATGAGTTCAAAGGAAGTGTCCCGGAAGATGCTGTACTTGAAAGTGGTGATCGTGAAATCGGGGTCGGGCGGAAGCCATCGCAGTCGATGCGGGGCGAGAAGAGAAAGCCACGCGGGCCATCGTAGAGCAGGAGCCAAAGCTCCGCTACCAACAAAGAATGAGGGATGTACAGTAGCGAAAAGACTTGCCAGTATCAGGTGTACGAGGCGCTTTTGTGTCAGGCGCGAAAGAAGGCGGGCGCGGGTAGGGATCCCTTGAGCCAAAACGCAAATGATAACCTTCCTGCACCCAGCAAAGCATAGGTAACCTCCCGTTCGAGTAGGAGAGGGATGAGCACGACGACAACCACGCAGACGAGGACGAGCGAGAGGAGGAGGGAGAGGGAGGTGCAGGGGAAGGAAATGGCGAGAGAGGCGTGATGGAGCTGCGGGTGGAAGAGGACAGGACGGGCTTACTGGGACCTGGTTTGATGCTGTGTACCCGGGGACGCCCCCCCCCACGTCATTCCACTAACCGGAATTGCCGTCACCCGAAGAGAACACCAGCTGCGGCAGAGTTGGCTAAGTGAGTCTGGCAAATTGTTGGGCCTCGGGCTCCAATCACTAGCCCGCTCTCCTTGAACGGGGTCCTGGCAAAATCCGACCTATGGCCCCCCTCAGTGCCGACCTACCCCCTGGGCGTCCTCGCGACCAAAATCCTCCTGACCGCCTTCCCGCACCAGCCGCTCGATCGCCCCGTCCACGGCGGCCACCGCGTCCCCCTCGCAGGCGACGTCCTCCTGGGAGCCGCTGCCCGTCCGTCCGCCCGCCCCCTTCCTATCCCACCTTTTCCCTCCCCCGCCCACTCCTCATACTTCATCCCCCCCTCCCCCCTTCCCCGTCGTAGTCCCACTGCTTGTCCCTCCTCCTCCTCCTCCTCCTCCTCCTCCTCCTCCTCTTCCTCCTCCTCCGCCTCCACCTCCTCTGTCCCGTATCCTTGTATCCTTATAGACAGCCCCTCTTCGTTTAACCACCATCGCCTTCGACTTCGCTCCCGCTTGTGACCACGAGTGCCTGGAAATGTCGAGCAGCTACACGGATTGAGGATACGACGATTCCAACATGTGGCTCTCGCCTTAGCGCACGCACATTCGCTTAACAACTTGCCAACAGCTACACGGATGGAGGAGTGGCGGTATTCCAGGACAATGCCGCGCACATTCGTCTTAAAGGCTTCCAACAGCTACACGGATGGAGATTTGTTCCTTTGCATGATGAAACGATCGCCGGAAAATTAATTGACAATGGCATGAGATCTGAAACTGCGCAACTGCTCTACAGATGGAGGGTGGTTCTTTTCAAATCAGGGCTCTCGCCTGAGATTTCCTCAGGCTTCATGGTCAGACGGGTCGAGCCGTATAACACCTGCACGGATTGAATACGGTTCGTTTGCACAGCAGGGCTCTCGCTGGAGTCTTCCGCGAACCGCATGACTATACCTCGTCGCCATCCTTCTAGCTAGAAGCGTGACAGCTTCTCTGCGAAACGGGGCTCTCGCCCGAATTGCAGGCGCACGGGTCGCTCGTCTTTCGGAGCAACACCTCCCGAAGTGAGAAGGACGCGTTGCAGGGTTTCACGAAGAGGTGAGTTGGGACGGGCGGGCGTATTGCAGCATCGTTCATGCCTCGTTGACGTAACATCATTGCAACATCTTCCACCCTCACATCTTGAGAAAAACAGGGCGCCCACGAGCAACGTGGCCCCGGGGAGTTTACAGGCGCGCCTGCGAAGCAGCTGGGGGCGTGGAGGCCCTTCCGGCGCTGTGGCACGACATCATTTCTTCGGCCACGTGGTGGCGGGCTGCAGTCAGCAAGTGCTACGATGCCACGTGGCAGGACATGAGCTGGTTTTGCTGGCGCTGGCTTCGCCGGCGCTGGTTTCGCCAGCGCTGGTTTCGCTGACGCTGGATTCGCCGGCGCTGGTCGCAGATGCGCTACGTTCTCAGGATATTGGTCGTTTGGCTGATGCATCCTCCTCCTTCTGATGATCATGTTTGCCTCCTCCTCCTCCTCCACTTCCTCATCCACCTCAGTATCCTCCTCGTCCTCCTCCTTCTCATCCTCTTCGTTATCCTCTTCCTTCGAGTTCCTTCAGGTTCACAAACAAATGCTCCACTAGGTAAAGCAAAAGCCGTGTGAAAAAAAAAAAAAAAAAAAAAAAAAAAAAAAACAAAAAAAAAAACAAAAAAAAAAAAAAAAAAAAAAAAAAAAAAAAAAAAAAAAAAAAAAAAAAAAAAAAAAAAAAAAAACGGGTGCGCGGTTTCTTATGTTCGTCTTCTTCCTCCTCCTCCTCATCCTCTCTCCTCCTCCTTCGTCCCCTCCTTATCTTCCTTCCGCCTCCCTCTCCTCCTAATCCTCCCCCTTCGTCCCCTCCTCTTCTTCCCTCCTTCTTCATATCTCCTCCATCCCCTCCTCCTCCTCCTCCTCCTCCTCCTCCTCCTCCTCCTCCTCCTCCTCCTCCTCCTCCTCCTCCTCCTGCTCCTCTCAAGCTACGTAGGCTCAAGCTTGCTTGAGCTGACTCCTGTACCTGCGCGCGGTGCTAGAGGCACACCGAGGCCCCGCTCCCCTGATCGGGCCGCGCTCGGCTGACCAAAGCAGGAGTTCAAGCCATGGTACGTTCGGCGCTGAGGTCGGCCTCTCCCCGTCGCTGGTCTCGCTGTGACCAATGCAAGCGGTGCGAGTGGAACGACAACCTCAGCAAATTGGACAACAAGTGTGTGCAGTGCGCTTGTGAGGTGACCATCTACAAGCCCAAGGGCAGTCAGTCGGTGAGGTTTGCTTCGCGCGAGCGTGCAGCTCGCAGGGTGCATTTCAGCGACTACGTCGAGCCTCCGCAGAGGCAGCAGGTGCCCGCGTCGCAGGCTGAGGAGTCGGCCAGGCCGTGGGCACGGCCTCACTCTGTTCGTGATCATCTCATGGAGGCGCTGAAGATGGCCCAGGACGAGGAGCTTCAGAAGTTTCTCAAGCAGAGAGTGGAGTCCCTGTCGGCGCTCGAGCAGGCGGCGGCGCCTCCGCCGTCTGCTGCGGCTGCGCTGACCAAGGCCGATTCGGCCTGGAGGGACACCAATCACAAGCACGACCAGGCGGTGGCCAACGTGCGGAGGCTGCGCACCGCGCTGGCTACCGCAGAGGGCAAGGAGGCGACTGCGGCCAAGGCCGAGATCGCGCGGAAGGGCGCGGTGGAGTCGCTCGCCAGGGCTGAGGGGGTTGCAGCGGCGCCCGAGGCCCCTGTGCGCGAGAAGAAGCCGACCGAGCTCTTCGAGATCACCTGGGATGAGTCGATATTCCAGGACCTCGAGGGGCTCGAGGTAGAGGAGTCAGAGCGGGAAGAGTTGAAGACCATCCACGAGCAGCTCACCTCCATGCAGAAGGCCTTCTCGTCCAAGTCAGGAGAGGTCAGGAGTGGCTGGCCAAGGCGGCGCAGGTCCGCGAGGCCACCACCACGCGCATGGCCAAGAAGCGCAAGGGAACCGACGGCGTCGCCCAGGCTGCGGCCCCAGAGCCGACGGCGCCGGCAGCGGGGGGCGCCAGCCAGGGCGAGGCTGCAGGTAAGGAGGCGGCTGAAGAGCGTTCGCGCGAGGAGCAGGCGGCCCAGGACGCCAAGGTGAAGGCTGAGGCGGCGAGGCTATCGGCGGCCAAGTTCGCGGCTGCTGAGGCTGCGGCTGCAGCAGCGGCGGGCGCCACTGGCGCCAGTGCCGCCGCGACTTCGGCATGACATGTTGCGCCTGGTCGCGAACCCAGCACGTCGAAGGTCGGCGGCCAGGCGCCAGTTTTGTCTGAGGAGAAGCTCGAGGATTTTCAGGGCACCTCCAAGAGCCTCTCCATCTTCTATGCCAACGTCACTACCTTGGGGGATCAGGTGTGGACGTATCTTACACAACATTGTGATCATCATGCTTTGCGGGGACGCGCTGAGACTCATGTACCTGAGTCGGGCATGCGCAAGCGAGAATAGATATCACGCAAGCACAATCGTCGCATGATAGCCAATGCTGCAATGCCCACGGGGCAGCAACGGGCGGCAGTCATGGCCGAGAAAGCTACTGAAGGAGGCGAGATCACCTTCGCCAAGAAGCACCTCCAAGTCACCAGCCTGAGCGATCTTCAGGCGAATGCCCTCAAGGCCCCTGGGTCGGGAGCTGTGGATGGCTTTGTGGGGTCAGCCGTCCATTGCGAGGGTTTCTCTTCCATCATGTTCGTGTTCTACGGGTTCTGTTCGATTGGTATGTCTGGGCGCAACCTTGCTCGTTTTCAGCGCTTGGGAGCTGCATTGCAGATGTTGCAACTACCATGGACAGTACTCGGGGACTGGAACCTCAATCCGTCCGAGCTCGACAAGTCGGGTTTTCTCCAGCGTGCGCACGGGCAGGTCATGGTGCCCCCAGTCGCTTCCACCTGCGACATGGGCGCCGTCGGCTCGCTCATCGACTACGCGGTCATGTCGGAGGCCATGGCGCCTTACATCTTGGATTGTCAGGCTGTACTTGATGTTCCATGGCGACCGCATGTGGGCAACGCACTCAAGATCAGGAGCAGCGGCAAGCAGCTGGTTACTCGTCGTCTCGAGGCACCTACTCGCCCCCCCAAGCGATGCGGCCCCGCGCGTTGCCGCAGGAAGGGTCCAAGTCATCACTTGCCAAGGCCGAGAGAGTCATCCAGTCTGCCGCGGCCGCGGAGCGCCGCTCTAAGTTCTTCACAGAATTGTTCAGTGATTGCGTTGTTCAGGGTAGGCATGAGGAAGGCACAGCGGCCCCGTCTGATGACGGGTCTTTAATTGATGAGTGGCCCGAGGAAGAAGATCCATGGAGTCACGAGCCGAATTTCGGTAACAGTTTCTGTTCGTTTGCTCAGCCAGGCCAGCCTCCTGCTGTCGATTCCAGGGGGCCCTTGGTCGGCGAGACGGAACATGGTGAGCAGTCATCTGTGCAGATCGGGCTTCAGAGTAGCAGCTTGAAAAGTCAGTATCCAATTCGGTTGCCCGACGGAGTCGCCCCCCCCCCCCCCCTCTGCGATTGCGCGCCCCGTCAGCTCGAAGGAGCGACCCTGGATGATCATTCTCTCAGCACGGAGCCAGACTTTTACGTGTCTCAGGAATGCTAGCGAGCGAATCGGTCATCCACTTACTTTCAGACGTGCACGGAAGAAGAAATGCACCCGCTGTTCCGCTCCTCCGTAGCTTTTTGGCCCAATCCCAAGCCAGTTCCTTTCGCTAGCGCATGGTACTCTACGTGGGTCCGTGGCGTTGAGCAGTCGATGTTGGAACATCACGGCATAGAGCAGCGATCAGGGCCCAGCCGCGGCACAGGTTGCAGAGTTGTTATTGAAGAGGTTCGGCAGCCCACCAAGTCACGACAGGCTCCGCTACGCGATCAAGTGGCGTGCTGGTGGAAGCGTGTGGCCACGGTTCTGGGTCAAGCCTTGAAGCATCGGCAGCGTAAGAACGGGATTCGTGAGTTAGACAACATTCAGCATATCTGTCGCCACCTCGTGCACGCTCGGCCTACAGGGGTCAACCGTATTCTTCGCCCTGGTCGTGACGCGGGGGATAAGAAGTGGGCTACGGTGCTGCCCAACCTAGCATCGCTCGTCGATCCTGTGCTGGAATCTATCATGATCAAGCTTGTCGGATCGCACGTAGAGGTCAACGGCGTGTTGTGCATGAGCCACTGTCTGAGTTTCAAGAGTGGGTTGTGCAGCAAGCGGCAGCGGTCCCTCTGCGCCGCAGCATGAAAGAGGACCCA